CAGCGATATGCTCTCTTGAAAAAATATGGAAACTTCCGCAAAATCCGCACAGCGAGAAATATCGTTTCAAAGTTGCTCATTATATATTCAAAAACTATTTGAGGTAAACACTAACACATTCAGTTACTTGTAACTCCCTGATTCTTGGTCGATTCTTAAAATTCTTACACAGCTGCAAAGGTCAAAATGTCCAGAACGCATCTCCCGTTTTTTAAAAAATATCCAGATCCGTTTTACGAAGAAATACGCAATTTACGAAGAAGCGCGAAGTGTGCAAATTATCCAGTGTTTGGTAAACTTCGACGGTGTCTATGCCAATGCTACAGAGCGTGGCACACATAGCATATAAAATTAAGCCGATTAACACCTTAAACAGTAGGCGTTGCGTATCTGTTGTATTACTAGTCTGAGGTCAAATCCCCCAAAAAATCATTTTATAGGTCCTTAAGAGGCGATAACAATCACTGTTGATTAATAGGCAACACTTTCTGTGTGTATCCTTGTTTTGTGCACTTTTGTGACATAATGGCTTTATAATGGATTCGCCTTACACAGCTCAATAATCATATTGTGAAAAAAGTAGGTCATCAACTCACCTACAAAGTCTTGTTTATTAGTATCCCATAACGGCGCTGCCCTCACACCATTGTATACCAATGCAAAGAAAGCTTTCTTTACCTGCATATAAATAGAATAGTCCAATTAGAACACACCTAAAGCTTACCTGCATATAAATAGAATAGTCCAATTAGAACACACCTACCATAAATGAAGATGTGTTTCTAATAGAACAACTACAGTATCAGCATGAAAATACGATGATGAATAAAAAATAAATAAATTTTAAATTCAAATATACGCATGTTATGCTTTAGTAGAAACACACAACGCACATATTAATAATTTATTAAAATGATTTATTTTGACCACAGTTATGTAATTTATACAAGCACATGTGCTACTAAAAGAATAAATACTCATGACGCCATGGGCTGTATTATCCACCCACGTTTGGTTTGTGGGCGATACTAGCCTATGACGTAACTGGTAGCAACCAGCTCTACGAACAAGTGATATCAGTGCCAAAACGACGGAGAAATTGCGATTTTATAGAACTACTGTGGAATACTTTATTTTCGCTGGAATTAATTTTCGCTGAAAAGGCTTTTTGGGCGTTTTGTATGGAACTTATTTTCACTGATTTTTGATGAATTTAATGTGAAATATAGGAAAAAAAGTATATTTGCTGGATTTTATTTTCACGGAATCATCCACTCAGCGAAAATAGCGAAAATAAATTCCAAGCGAAAATAAAGTATTCTACAGTATGTACGCTAATGAATCAAAATTAGACATGTTGTCATATGAGTTATTGTCATAGCACCATGAGTAATTGTTGTTATCCTATATGAAATTTGCAGTGATAAAACCATACTATCGACACGTTCAGTGTGAAATATGTGGTGCCACACTAAACATCACTACTGTGAATGATATGCACTGTGGTCATGTGATAAAGTATTCTATCAAATCCATAATTTAACTACATATTTGTAGATATATTCCTTTCATACTCAAAAGACCGATACAAATAAACCAAGTATTTAATTTAGAACTCAACACAAACATTGCTATTTCAACCCCCATTTATATTCAGAAGTAGATATTGTAGTGTTCGTTGTACATGTAAGTGTCGGTATGGTAATCAGACATCTTGTATTAAAATGTTTAAAAAGGTCGTAGGTCACACTGCTATTATCCTTAATAACAATAGTTGATATTTTATTTAATCGACTCAAGGACACCGTATATTTACATGTCATATCTACATAGTTTTCACTTAATTCAACATATTTCCCTGTTTTTATGTAACTGTCACATGTGAAAAAACCATGACAAAAATCAAATAAAAAAAAAAATGAAAAAATCAAATTAATATTCAGATTAAATTCATGTTTATTATGAATTGAAATCTAATGGAAATAAAAACAATTTTTCAGTTCAAAATTGTATTTTGTCCATTTATTTATTTTATTTATTCAAATTACCGGAATGAATCAATGAAAATGGATGTAGTACAATATGGCTTACCGGTACTAAATCTACAGCACAGAAAACGATTTACTAACAACAGCAAATGTGAGAAGTCTGAAAGAGCATCACGTGCATGAATAGTATTGATCTATAAGTAAAAAATATACTTACCAATAATTGTGTATCAAAAACCACTAATTTTGAACTGGTTGGTATAAGATCATAACATTTATGAGTTTTCATAAATCGCACAAAACCAAGTGCTTCATCTGTGGATAGCAGAGAGAGTAAAGGTTTAAGTGTAAAATCACATAAAGTGCCATCTACATCTGTAGTATAGTACCTCCCTACATACATGTAATTGATGATGAACCAAGAATAAAATAAGGCCCAGAAAAAAAAAATATATTAAATCATGAATTATTTAACATTTTCTTTTACAATTAAGAAGACGTGGGAAAAGATACTGAATACAAATCTTGCTAGAAATTGTCAGATTAAAAAACAATAAGTTTGACTTATAAAGAGATTAAATCTTATGAATTCAATTACAATTACATTGAAGGTAAGCTTACAACATGAATGAATAAAATCTGTAAAGTAGCCCAGCTGTCATCAGTTATCAGATAAATTCATTGCAAATATTTTTACATTTCATAAAATTGTCACTAAATTTCATCATAATTTTGGTCCATATGGCAGTTTCAGATATTGCTTTTAGTTTTTGACCAAAAGGTATGTCAATTTTTATCAACATTTCATGTGGGGAGGGAGCAGACTATTAATAATCAAATTTGTTGCTCCTCCCAAAAGTTGACGCTGGTACTCAAAGGGTTAATACGACAGACATAGCGATGAGGTGTCAGTTCATGTGTAACCCATACATGTAGATGACGTTAATGGAATAAAACACACATCAACAACCTACAATCTTTTGAATTCGGAATTAAACACAGACGCCTGCAGACAACAGACATTGAATTAAATCCATATGATACTAATATAATAGTACATTATATTTGCGGACTGTAATTTAGTTTTTATTCATTACAGCACCACGGGCATCTTGTAGCCAGAATTCAAATATTTGCAATGCATTTTTTATATGCAATGCCAGAGTTCCATTTTAAACACTATGCAAGAGATGTGGCAGCTTAAATTTTGTAAAATCCTCATATGAAATATCCTGTGTTCCATACTGAGCATACAATAGCTCACTGTGACATCATTTCAAGAGCAGCATGGGTCGATATGTTGCTTTATGTGATCTATCCTTCAAAAGATTTTACCTCCTGCATAATACATACCCGGTACATTAAATACAGCAGCATACTTTGATAATAATAATTAATTGTTCAGTAGCGCATGTTTCATTTTAGTTTTTTTTATATTTGTTGTTTATGTAGCATGGGACCCATGTCAAACCTTACGCTGAGTGACTGTAACATTAAGGTGGAATTATCTTTACTATCAGTACGTAGAGTTTCAGCATATGCACCCTTAAATACCGGTACATGTATTTTGAAACAGCCTCCAGCAAAATGAGAGATATCGATCAGTCAGAAATCTGCATAAACATTCAATGACAATCATGAGCTTTCCAATGCATTTATTGTTAACTCATTTTCAAATCTACATTCAATTGACATGAAGAATATTAAATTGAAAAAGTTATTATTGAAGATAATATCAGTTGTGATTTTATGCAAAGAGCATTCATGTCTATTTGACCTTCAAATGGAAGCGTATTAAAAGTAGAAGGGTGGTAGGGTACAACAAAATGAGACTAATTAATTTCCACCTACCGTCTTCATCAATGTCCATGTTCTCCAACCCAGCATCCCCGGTGAGGAACTGAAATAACAAACAAACGTACAAACACTTTCAATACTGGCCAGTTACAGGGGCCAAAGCAGGGACGTGTTTTCCTCACAGAATAAAAAAAACAAAACAATAAAGTGGTTACATAGAAAAGACATTAGTCACGACTTGTATAATCCCATTTGCCTAATAAGAGTCAGTGTATGTATTACTAATTACACATTCACAAACATATAAATGACTTTTTAACCAAATTTTACTCACTTAATTGACTATAAACAAGTAATTAGTTAATAACTTGGTCACAGGGAACAAATTTATAATATTCTGCCTTTTATAATATAACCAGAAAAAATCATTAAAAAATTAATATTTCTCTAGTATCTAACTGACATTTTACTGAAGGGACATGCCCTCCATACTATTATTTCAATATTTCACCAAATTGCTTTCTGACAGACTGATTTGTGATAAGAAGTGGGTTAAACCATAGACCCTCTAAAAGCCACTAAGCAGCAGTGCTGCACCATTATACAACTATTCACTAAGGTTTAGAGTTATTTTTAAACACAGAGGTCAAAAGATGCTTGACTAGTCCCGATCAATGAATCCATACAATTTTTAAACAGATTAGCTGGGGAATACAATTATTCTATTTTTGATTAAGATGGCAAATAAATTTCAAAACGAGCAACGTATATTTCAAGTGAAGGTGAATGTCCTATTATTGGCAAGCTCAATAATAGTGGGGGTAACAGTTCTTTGGCAGGCTGTACAATACCCTGTACAATACCGGCATAGTAACCTAATCAGCATTTGAATACACTGCCAGTATGGTTTACTGTCAAATGTTGACTAACTCTAAATTTAACAACCTGTATTCAATATATTATTGAATAGGCTCATATCTCAACACTGTTAATTCCAGTAACAGATGCGGAAGTCTATATCTGCCGAACGTGCAATCAGATTTTTTTTAAAGCAGTGTTGAAAAGAAATAAATAAGGGACAACACAGAGATCTGACATGACCCAGTTAATATTTAATTACTTACCACCGAGTCTTTGCTATCATCTATCTTAGTGTCGTTCATTTGTTGAGATAGTGAGCGATACGGCTGACGTCGTCCGGGTTCGTTGTTGTAATCCTGGAGTTTAAGTGCACTTAGTTTATTCACTGCAATGAAATTAAAATAGGCACATTCAGCATATAAAAGAACCACGGCTTTCACCTCAGAAGCGAAGCAAACCAGCCAGCCAACCAGCTGAGGAGGCCCACATGTACATGTATGCAATGCCTGGAATGGCAAGATTTCACTTCTTGCCACAGTGATCAAATCCAACCTTCCTTGATTATACCAATTTGATTATACAATCACACATTGACCTTATACATGTAAATGACAATCATCACCATGGCGATTGCATAACCTGCTGTGTCACTTCTAACAATGACCCATAATTACCACCATTTTTTTCTGAAGCACCATTTATCTGTATGACACGACTGGTGTACTGCATCAGAAAAAGCACACAACTGTACAAATATATGAGCAGCCACTCACCCCGTAGTAGTATAACCTCTCAACTCGTTCTTTTAAAACATTAATACACATGCAAACGCTCCCATTTAAACACAGACGGCAGAGACAGAGGTAGCAGCGCGAATCATTAAAGGTAATCAATCTGACTGAATGGCAGTGGTATAAAATCCAGAGGCAGGAGGGAAGGAGAGAAAAGATCCCACACTGTCAGCACAATACTGTCCTTGTATATTACAGGAAAGGTCACTCCATGTGAAATGCACTAGTGGGTAAACTCACTATTAAGCCCAGTGATGTCATAAAATAGCTGAGGTGTTATGGGAGAGACTACTTCATGACAGGGGAGCATAGCTCATAAGCGGAGGGACTAGTTCTCTACTATGTCTGTGATTTAAAAAAAGATGCATACATGTAACTCAAAAATCAAACACATAAAATTAAAAACATTTAAATACTAAATTTTAAGTAAATAAAAACATATCACAACAACTTGATTTTTTTTACTGGTGGGATAAATGTATATTATATAATAAAGATATGTATTTTAATGGGGAAATTAGTAACACACGCATTTTATGACGGAGGTGTATCAATATTGATAGTAAGTCATATTTTAATAATCTAGTATACAATACATGCAACCATCGGGTTACATGTGTCTCTATTGGAGATGCACTGCTATCATTAAATTCAGATTAGACACACACACACACAATAATTGTTTACTTTATTGTAATCAATTTAATACTCTAAAGAGGGTACAATGTCAATAAAGTTTATTTTACTTACGTAATGGGCACAACATAACCGCCGCCCCCCACAACAGAATGGGTAAGCCCAGTTCATACTCCCTACAGAGCAATGTAACTCCCCCAGAAACAATATATTTTGAGGAGATGATTTAAAGAAAGCATCAATGCCCCTTGCCAAATATAAAAGTCAACGAGGTATTCTAGAGTGATTATAGTCGAATCGTAATATAACTGGCGCATGGAAAAACTCTCCAAAACAAATTAAACATATTTCATCACAGCATATCTCACCGTGTAGATTAAGACAGGGCTGAAGTCTGTCAAAAAAGATTAAGTTAAGCTGGGCGTGCACACTTTTTTGTGTAAGTATGCAGGTCGTTTTATTTCAATTTTTCAAATGACCTTATACTGCAAGAAGAGATGTACAGAATCATATCTAATGTAGTTTTCAATACGTATTTCCTTCATACAACAAAGTGTTAGTCATTCACTACAAAGAAGGAAGTTTAAAAAAAAAAAAAAATAAAAAAAAAAATAAGAAAAAAAAAAATAAAGCATTGGTGGAATGACATACACGTACCACGGCTACATTTTGTAATTTGCATAGAAATAAATCATTGTGGCCTTATTTGCAAAAAATAAAATTATTCCCAAAAATATAGGAAGGTATGGTTACTGAAAAAACAGAATTTATTTCATTTGGTTTATGATGGTAAAACTGTCCAGAACATTATCAGAAATACAAATACATTATTTATTTACCAGGTGATTCATTACATGAATATGGTAAACAAAATCAAATAAATAAATGAAAAATAAACTACATGTACGTACATTTCAAACAAACTATAAACTTCAAATACCCAATTGCATTCATGTATCACAATTGCGACAGAACATTCAATTTATCAGGTGCGGTAGTCATGATATCTGTTACTCACTTAGGGGGCCTTGATGAATAACACTCACTCAAATTATAAGTTATATCAATTCATTCCTATCACAGATTAAATTAAAAAACGCTGATCATTTCCCAGAATAAGTATAGAGAAAATAAACTCTTATGATTTCAATACACAATGGGGATCACTCCCTGCCCACAGCACCTTGTGAAGACCTTTAAAATTAAAAAGCTATTTGATTTTCTCATTGAAGCCAAACAATAGTTTTGATGCGCTATCGCGAATCTTGAGTACCACAAGCCACACAACTGTCACATCTTATAATAGTTTTTCTCAGAATTTGCCTTTAAATCTATTCTCTTCATAAAACCATTTAGTCAGGCATCTGTAATATTACTGCAGAACTGATAAAGAACTGCTAAAAGTTAACAAAAGCACATGTTACAGACTGAAGCACATTTCCCCTCAGGGGAAGTCCTGAAACATACACTAAACTTCATTTTACATTTTGCCTAATATTGACAGCTATTGATACAAAGTGAGCAATTTGAGGTTTGACCTAGGTGTGACTTGCACTAATTACCACCTGTGACTCCTTCAATACCTTCCTATCACTGAAAAAAACTTAATTAAAGCTTGGTAGCATTTTAGTTTGTACTCGTTAAAAGTCAAAGTTGCCATCTTTATTTATACGAGACCCATATATCTCGTGCATGCGCGGTGCGACGACTACCGCCCTTTAATATCAATAGTGACTTCACACTATAAAAATACACTAAATGCCGATCAGTGCATAAAGTGAATTCTGGGTAAACACATAAACTTGAGATAATTTAAGCAAATTATAATATAACATGATTATAACAACAGCTGAAGATTGTATCTAGGCAACAAGTATTCAAAATAAATATATAAGCGACTAATACTGCTAATCATTCTAAATCTGCCTACAGCAGTATTAAATAGAGATATATGATTAGGCTTATAGTGGTCGCCAAAATAAACTGCTCATGATCTCCCTTGCAAAAGTGCAATATTTCTAGAAACTTTGCCAGTGATGTTTGTTATAACATCAATCAAATTAACAAATAATCAATTTTTATATATTTGACATGGGAGCTCTAACTTGAAATGATGTACTGTATACTTGTGATTAAATAATTTACTGAGTTCTAATGCAGAATGCTTGTAAGGATTCAACTTATTTCAACGCCAGCTAAAAACAAGCAGCCTCTCGGCTGAGATAGCTCTGCTGTTAGCAATGCACATTAAAGAACTGAAGATTTCATTAGAAAACGAACAAATCTGAGAGAGATCTACCCGAGGTATCGGTACCTATATGTATACATGTAGTATCAAAGCAATCGGACTTGCTGTTTTCAACAAGAATTCGAAAATATCACTTTTTACCAAAAATTACAAAAATATTCATCAAAATGAGATAATTGAAGATATCATCACAATATTAACAAATCTGAGAGAGGCCCACATGTAGTACCCAGATATATAATATCAAAGCAATTGGATTTGTGGTTTTCAACAAGAAGTCGAAAAAGTTGACACGGACGATGACGGACACGACAGATATTCACTCATATGATAAGCTCCGCTCAACAAAGTTAATCAAAGGAGGTTAGAAATGGTAATATATACCATATTATGATTTATTATGAAGTAAAAAACATTGGTCAGACTTGCAATATTCATTCGATGAAATGTGACTGCACATACCTGTTAAATCAACATACCTATATAAGCTAATTACTGGTAGGCATAGATATTTTGAAACAAGAAATGAGCTATAAGACATTTATAATGATGATCTAACCTATACTTGGCTCAACGTGGCTCGGCTCGGCCAGTAATCCAGCAATCCAGTCATACAACAGAATACACAAGATTTTTCCTTACAATGTTTTGAAGTAGTAATGTCTTTTGCTAGTGTGGTTTAAAGAAACTTAATGGACTTTCCAACACAGGAGTATTTTCATTTTCAAAAAGAAGTTCACTTTACATGTTTCATGCGGTGAAAAACAGTTTAGATCTAAAATTGTTTTAAAACTTGTCTGGGATGATTTGTTGGGTCGCACACCACTACTGTATTACATGTACCCAAGTGCTTTTATTGAAATCAAATTAATATAAACTCGCACACTTCATGAGACAAATTACATGCTATCAAGAGAGAATAAAGATGTAAAGGGCATACTACTTAGGTGACACATGATAGAGATCTCATGGAAATCACGCAACGAACTCAAAGTTTTATAATGTCAACATGGCAGGCTGTGTCCATAGTGAAGCCCAGACAGGTGATCTCATTAAGAGGGGGTGATCTCTCTTTCTACTTTTAATGACAGGATTATTGAAACTGCACTGCTTTTATGTATCTTAGCAACATATATGACTTTACAGACAAGAAAGCAAAGGTTATTCCTTAACACCACTCTACACTACACCATCTCAAATAGGACTAACAAGTTAGAGAACAGTCATTTATAGTAGACAATTTTTGTTTTTGAGTGGAGATTAGTATGCAAATGTATTGTTTTTGCTCAAAGTATGAGCCAAACCAGTCAATGCGATGCACTGCACTTAAAAGTATAAACAATACCGGGGTTGAAAACCTCATAAGAGATTCCCTAAAGATTCATAAATTTCATGTACCAAAGCAATCAAATTGGGAGCTTTTAAGAAATAGCCAATAAAATCATTTTTTTACCAAAAATCACAAAATTATTCACTAAAATAGAGAATTGAAAATATCATTACAAAAAGCACAAATCAGATAGAGGTCCACTCAAGATTGAGTATCAAAGCAGTCAAAAAAAGAACTTTTTCAAAAAGTCAAAATTAGCATTTGTACCAAAAATATTCACTAAAAATAAAGAATTGATGATAATCATAATGAAATGAACAAAACTGATAGAGGTCCACTCAAGGTAAAAAATATAAAGCAATTGGGATGGTGATCTTTAA